GGGGGGGGGGGGGGGGGTTGAGTGCAGGTATCACCAGGTTGAGATCATGGACCCCGAGAGGGCGCCGCGGTTGTCAGAGGGGGGACACTTCCCGTCCTGTGAGGTATCACGCTGGCGGACAGTGCATCTGTCGTCTCTCATCCGTCATTCATTCCTCTGTCAGGTGATTTCCTGTGAGCAATGCCGCAACTGGAGGGAGATCGAATTGATACAGGCAAGACAAGGCACAGCCTGTATGTGCGCGCACGCATACATACATGTCTGTCTCTGTCTCTGTCTCTGTGTGTCTGTTGGTCGGATGCGGTGCAGTTGGACAAGGAGGTCCTGGACGAGTGTGTGCGTGTGTGGAAGATGAGCAAGCGGGACATCGTTTCACAGCTGGAGCAGAACAAACACAACGGCATCACCACAACGTAAGTCACACTCACACTCACACGAAAGACCGACACTGCCGCTGACATTCTCTGCCACCGTTCGTGTGGTTCTTTCCGTTCACTCAGGTTCTTTCTGCTCGATCGGCGTCGTCACAGCTACCGCCAGAAACTCATGCAGGGTACGCCACACCACACCACACCGCACCGCAGCCAGGCCTTCACAGTGTCAGGCACGGCCCTTCTTTCCCCTCTCCCTCCCTTGCTGCCCTCAGCTGGTGTTCCGGGTGGAGCGATCCCGTCGTCCTACGCTCAATCGTACCGCGGAGGTATCCACGCCCGCGCACCCAACAACAACAACAACAGCCCCAGGTCCAAAGCCGTGCCGGCCACTGCCCGTCCCGCCATTCACACACAGCCGCCGTCGGGCGTCGACTCGCCCCGCACACCGCCCATCAGAGGACATGTGAGCAGTCAAGACACGCGACGAACTCACACAGAGAGACATGTGAGTCATGCTGTTTGTGTCTGTGTTTGCCAGCGGTATGTGGCCTACGGTCCACTCGCCGCAGAAATGGCACTCCACCATCACCATCAGCAGCAGCCGCAGCAGCCGAGCTTCTCGCCCTGTTGCTTCCCCAAGCGGCCTGCGGCTACTGGTACCTTCCAGTTCCATGCTGGTGCCTCTGTTCCGCCGAGAATGCCCCTCCTGCCGGCGACGGCCTACTCTGTGGTGCCTCCCCACGTGGCCGTGTACGCCAGCGCCCCAAGCACGGCGAGGGGCGTGCAGACACCTCCACCGGTGTTCACGCAGGCGACGGGGCAAGGTGGCGGGGACAAGGTCACACACATGTACTCACTGCCTCTACAGGTACGTACGTAATCTACTGACAAACTTAGTTAAGTGAGATACAGGACTTGATGGCTTCATCTTCATTTCGTCTACCTGTTCGTTGTCTGCTCTGTCAGCTGTCGGGTTCGCCGGGGCCCTCCATCCCACGGCCGCCTCACATCGCAGACGGACGAGAGCAGCCAGCTGGGGAGCCCGCGGGCGCCCCGCCACCCCAATTCTCGATGACTGACGCGTTGCGCGATCTGGCTGAGATGGACGACTCCAAGGTCGTTAAAGTTGCCGGTGGCTCAGGTGGTGAACCAGGCGGGCGGCCAAATCTGCGCCAGCTTTCGACGGGTGTCACTGAGGGGGAGGTGGTGGCCAACAACAACAATAACAACAACAACGAGGGTTGTCCCGCGGCCGAGAATGGTGAGATCAACAACGACACAGACGAAGCCTTGGAGCTGCTTCCCCCTTTGGCCGAGGAGACACCGCGTCTGGTCGAGAAAGGGGAGGAGGAGGGCCCGTCGCCCGCACCCCCTCTCCCCGCTTCGCCCGCCCCGCCAGCTGCTGCCACCTCTCGCCCCGGCACGGCCACATCAACTCGCAGCAAGGGCACCCAGCCGACCCTGACGGCCAGGTCGCCCATCAACACGGGAGCCGCCACTGCCCGCGCCAGCACCACCACGCCAAAAGATAAGGACAAAGACAAGGGAAGTCCGGGTGTCGTCAGGAAGGCCGGCGGTGGTGCGTCTCGCGTCGTGTCGTCCAAGCAGCCGAGCTACGGTATCCCGCACTCGGTAGCCTACCATCGCGGCACGTCTGTGGGCTTGCCGTACCAGCATGTGGTGGCTGGGGCCGCTGGGCAGCCGGCTCATGCTGTCGTGACACTGGCGGGTGCGGGAGCCAACAAGAGAGTGGGCGGGGGTGGAGTGCGGGGCGGGTCTGTTGCGGCAGGCAGCCGCGTTGGGGGAGGGGTCAATCGTACGGCTGTCAGCAAAGTCGCAAGTCCCACGGCGGCCACCACGCTGCGTACGAATCCAAACACGAGAGGGATAGCACAACCGAGGAATACATACCAAACAACACGGATTTTGTGATGCTGTCATGCTGTGGTGGCGTGTTGTGTTGTCCATCATCAGGCCGGCCGCTATCGCTCGCTTTGTCTGGTCGTGGAGGGGCAGGAGTGGTGAACACGACCCGCCCCAAGGCGCGCGGACCCGCTCCGCCCGCAGCGAAACGCGCACAGCCACAGCCACAGCCATTCGGTAAGAAGAAGACAAATCGTGACCTTCACTTTGTTGGCGCACTCCGTTGTGCATTGTCTCGCTTACAGGTGGCAGATTGGATGAGGTGCGTCCGAAGGAGGAAGGTGGGAAGGTGGAGACAGGCCGGGAGGAGGTTCCCGTGGTTCGTGTCGACAACAAAAACGGTTGGGTTGCGAAGAGCGGTCAGACCTCGGCGGCGGCGGCGGCTGTGGCTGGAGCTGGTCCTGGTCCTGGTGTTGGCGTTGGTGGGGGCTCCATCATCGTGCCGCCTCTGTCGATCAGCAGTGCCGCCACCAACAGACGCCCATTTGCCGAGGCGCCCATGTCAGCGAGGTAAGTGTGGTGGGGCTCCACAAGTACTTACAGATACAGACACTCATTCCCATGTCATGTGTGTGGATGGAATCTACCTACCAGAGTTTGTGCGTCCAAGCGCGAAGACCCCCTGCCTGCGGCCCCGCAGACCGCCCGCGGGCCCGCACCTCTTGTGCAGCACACCTACAGCCCAGCTCATGTGCTCTGCCCGGTGGTCCAGGCTGCGCGCATTGCTCAGCCACTCCAGTCGACGTACTACCACCACCACCCGCCGTCGCCTGTGCCGTTCCCGGCAATCAACGTCAACCCCAAGATCGGTAGGTGACCCACAGGGAGAACAGGAAGGCAAGAATGAGTGATGGGTTGGGTCATGGTGTGGTGTGCAGCAACTCCACCGGCGGTGCGTGCTGCCGTCGTGGCTCCGGCACCGTCAGGTGGGGCCAATGGGGCGAATGTCTACACAACACCAATCACAAGCGCTGGTACAACCCAGACACACACACACAAAGAGATGGACTGGACTGGTGCATGGCTGCCTGCGGCCATGCCACTTATTGTCTCTTCTCCTCCGTTTGTCAGTCAACTCGCCGATCCCGCGTCCATTCATTCCGCAGTCGCCGGCAGCCAAACCAACCACACAGACGCCGACGGTGCTGCCCCACCCACCCCAGCAGGCCACGACATCAGCAGCCACGGCCGTGTATCGTACATATTTGAACGCCAACGTCCACCACCAGTACCCCCCCGCCGCCGCATACCATGCGTACGGCGTGTCTCCCCGGGTGAGCCGGATCACGCCCCCTCCGGCGCCTCGGGTGTCGACGCAGTGGTACTACCCTTCGCCCATGCCCTCACCACGGGCGGGCACTCCACCAGGTGAACGATAGACAGACCCGAGAGACGAGAAACTGGATGGATGGATGGATAGATGGACAGACAGATGGATACGTTGATGTTATCGGTCGCGCGTGTGTGTGCAGCGTTTGGCCCCTCTGCTGCAGTCCCCGGCAGTGCGGGGCGCACCTACTACACCTACGGCCCGCCCCACGTGCGACGACCGAACGTAAGGCGTCGACAAGAGAGACGGGACGTGATGCCAGCAGAGTGGGGGTGCATTCGAGAATCGCGCCTGTGTGTGTGTGTGCGTGTGTGCTGTGTGTGTGCTGTGTGTGGCAATCGTCAGATCCCGGGGTATGCAAACCACTTCAACTGAGGGATTGACAAGGCCGATGATTGAGAGGCAGGGCTGTGGATGAGATGAAGGAGTGAATGCGTTGCGTGTCAGTAAGAGTTTCTTTTGAACGAACGGAGGAGCTGCCAACATTGACCACTTGAGTGATTGATTTGAGAAGAGATAATGGACGGATAAGTGTAACAATGGCCCATGACACTTTGCCGTGTGCTTGGTCGTGTGTGTGGTGTGTGCAGTGAGTGCAATTGGCCGGCCTGGCTGTCAGTCTGTCTGCCTGCCTCAATATGCGTGTGGGCGGCGCTGTGTGTACTTGGGGGGGGGGAATGGGGGACGAGCAAAGGACAGAAAAAGAGCATGAACAAACGGTCAGGGGCGGTCGTTCTGTCTGTCAGCTCCTCTGTCTGCCATGTCTGTTTGTGGAATAAATAGCCGGCCGGAACGGCCATACGCACCACACCACACCACACCACACCTCACCGCACCACTCATCGCACCTCATCTCACCACGTCAGTCACACCGACCACCGCTCATCAATCACACGACCTAATAGATCTGATGCGTCACGCCATGTGTGTATCAAAAGACATATATGCAGCGAGGTCAACCACACACACAGGACCGGTGCACACACGCGAAACCTGTCCGTCTGTCTCATTTGACAAATACCACGTCACGTCCGCCAGGTAACATAAAGCCCACACAGCACACATCACATCGTCACTTGCACCATAACATGACCGGCCATCCCATGCATGACGAAGAAAATTTGCCTGCGCGTCCTCACAGATAGATATCTATTTCATGTAGTAGCACTTGAGGGCGCCATCGGCCCCAGCAGTGGCCAGACACACGGCAGCATCCTCAACAGCCGGCATGAACCTGCACACACAACCGCGCCACCACACATAAGCATCGGGCGCACAGCATAACGACCGATCGTCTTTCTCTCTGCCTCACTGACCTTGCTGCCGTGACGCCTCCTTTGTGTGCGTTGGCGATGTGGGCGCGCCGCGAGGGGGTCTCGCGGTCCCAAACATACAGGTCACTGAAAACACACAGCACACACCCAAGCCAAGGAAGCAGGACCAATCGGCACGTCCCATGTGGGTGTGGGTAGGTGCTCTATCATATGCAGCAGACCAGACGCACCGCACCGGTCTATGGATGCGACGGCGAGCAGGGTGTCGTTTGGCGACCACGAGAGGGACGTGATGCGCGACGAGTAGCTCACCCACTGACGATGCACCACCTGCTCAACAAACCAACACACCCACAGCCACAGAACAAGGGCGTGTCTGTGGCTGTGCCACCTGTGATGAGGCTTGCCTGTAGATTGTCCAGGTCCCATAGGAGGACGTACTTGGCGCTGTCCCCCGAGGCCACGTACCGACCATCACCCGTCAAGGCGACGGCAGTCACCTGCTCGACACACACGCACACAGCATCACATCAATGGACACCGGCCCGGCCCCTGCACGCCTTGGTCTCCGCCACACCTCGCTCTGGTGTCCGGTGAGCGTCTCGACGGCCGGCAAGACGTCCGATGATCCATTTGAATCACCAGCAGCACCCAGCGGCTGAACGCCATCGGGCCGGCTCGCATCCAGCACCACATACACACCTGACACACACGTGCACCCCCACCCCACCCCACACACACACATGCAGCAAGACGGTCCAATTCTATGTGTTCTTTGCCACCCCACTCACTCACTCACTCACTCACCGACAAAGAAACTTTCCACATGCCCCTTCTGCTTCCTGAAGCCCACAGCAACGATCGCCCTCTCCTGATCCCCTTTGCCTTTGCCGGCCACCCCCCCACCCACACACGTGGGCATGGCCTCCACTTTCCGCTCCCATGTGCACGCGCCGGCGTCTGCGGGCACCGGGGTGGCGATGGCCGCCATGACCGACTGTGTCGTGACGGTGAGCAGGGTCGTCTCGGTCTGGGTGAGGGCGAGGACGCCCAGCGGCCGGCCGGGGAGTTTGACGCCGCTGATGGGCAGAACGAGGGTCGATGCCTGCAGGCAGGGAGGGCATCAAGATGATGAGACGGGCTGGGTGGTCAAGCAAGCGTGTCTGTTGATGTGATGTGCTGATGTGTGTGCACCTCTTCAGTGGGCGCTTTGGGCAGCTGCACAGATCGCACGCAGTCGTCCAGCGCGACGACAAACAGAGTGGGTGTGGGGCCGTCGACAGCCGTCAGGTGAGTGACGGTCTTGTCGTTGGGCACACGAACGCGCAGCGTACCCACACCTGATGTGGAAATGATGGACGCTTAGTGCACGTCTGAGTGTGTGCAGGTGGTCGCTCACCTTGGTTGGCCTTGTATGAAGCCGTGTGTACGGCGATGACACAGCCGTCCGTCGAGCCCGCAGCCAGCCAGTCGGCACCGACCCACTCCAGAGACGTGTAGCTCCTCTGAACACACACACACACACACACACACACACAAGGGGGAGAGAGAGAGAGAGAGAGAGAGGGAGAGAGAGATACACATGTTGGCTGCACCCACACTTGGTTAGTTGTACCTGCGAGCCCATAAGTGTGCTTGTGAGGGCAAGTGACGTGGGCGTGTCCTTTGGCGTGGCCTGATACAGCAACAGCCGACCGTCGAGTGTCACCACACAGACTCTGTCCGACTCGGCCAGCCAACACACACCTGACCCCCCCACCCACACACACAGGCACATCACATGGGCAGGTGGCATCCATCGATGGTGTGTGTGTTTTGATGCTCATTTGTATAAGGTCACCCCACCCACCCAGTGGCATGTCCTGCAGTCTCTGCTCGCCGACGTGAGTGGCGCAGATGTGCTGCCCGCTCTCGCCTGCGTCCCACAGCCGAATGGCCTTGTCGCCACCTGCAGGCACGAGCCGACAACCAATAGGCAGACAATACGGGCTCATTACCACAGCGTGTGGCTACGTGTACGTGTTCTGACCAACGGTCGCGAAGATGTGTGAGTCCTTCTTGGGCCGCCACGCCACACCATAGACGCTCCCAGATAGATCGGCAGGACGCTCGAACTCCCTGAGGGAGGAGAAGTGGACAGACAAACCGCTCACCGATGCATTAATGTGTTGTGTGGTGATCACGCCTGTCTGTCTGTCTGTCTGTCTGTGAGGCACCTGATGTGTTGTCCCGTTTTGGAGTCGATGAGGTGGACTTTGCCGTCAGACCCCACAGACACAAGACGGTCGTAGCCCTCTGGCGCATGCCTAACACACACAGGCATACACACACACACACACACACACACGTGTGTGTGTGAAGGTGTGCAGGTGTCTGTGTGCCTGCCTGCCCACCTGATGGCGTTGACAAAGTTGGTGTGAAGGGACAGGGAGTGGCCGAACTTGAAGGGTGGGCCCTCGTGGTAGCAGATGTTGAACTCATCCCCACCTGAAACACACACACACACACACACACATATAAATGTGTGGATCTCTGGCAGAGTATGGTTGGCACTACCGGTAAGGATTCTGAACGGCCGATTAGGTCTGAATGCGACGGTCCTCAGCCGCTTGGAGTGGCCCGATATCTCCCCGGCCTTGCTGCCCGTGTCCCAGATGATAACCGCTCCCAGCCTGACATGCCGAGAGGGAGGGGCACACACACACACACACACACACACATACACACAGTTTGCCATCGTGTGCGTGCGTGTCCTCACTCACTTTTCTCTGCCGTCGCCCACAACAGCGATCCGCTGGCCGTCGCCACTCCAGGCGATGTCGCATATGGCACCGGTCAGCACAGGGTAGTCCTGCAAACGGACATGCATCACGCGTGTTGCCTGGTTTTTGAGTGAGGGCAGCGTACACACCGCTTTCTCGACGTGGTCGCCGTGGGCGCCCCAGACCTTCAGATGGCCCGACGCGTCTGACCCACAAAACAATATTGTATAGACAGACAGCAGACACACACGCAGATCTTGCCTTGCCTCGTGTGTGCACCCCACCTGGGTAGGTAAACACTTACCTCCCGAGGCAATCCACTGGCCTGACGGCGAGTACGCCACTGCAGTCGTCTGACCAGACAGCCAGACAGCCAGCCAAACATCATGATGGGGGTGGGTCGTGTTGTGTTCCTTCCTGCATCCCTGCCTGCTTGGCATGAAGGCCGAGCACTTCCACCGGCGACTCATTCTCCTGCAGGACACACACACACACAGTGCATCCATATGAATGAAGCAAGCCCTTGATTGACTGACTAACTAACTGACTGACGTATCATTGATTGTCTTGACTAACTGACCGCTGGCTGCAGGTTTCGGATGACGACGTTGGTCCCGCTGCAGTAGGCCACCACGTCCCTCTTGGGATGGGACGCCAGGCAGCAGGGCGTACCACGGGCAGTGGTGGGCAGCGGCGCCAGATGCAGACCTGACAGTGAGAGAGAGATGCATGTGACTGACTGAATGAGTGTGCGGTGTGCCTGGCTGTCGTGCCGCGACTTACCGAGAGTGAATTCGAGGGCCTTGGACGCCATCGTGTGCTGGACAGGACAGAACGTTCCTCTCAGATCTCAACGAGCCGAACACGAGCAGCAGTCGATGAGCCAGGAAGGGCTGCCGTGCGCTGCCGTTGACACGGAGACCTTTGATGTAAAAATGCGTTTGGAAATGCGTTTGGGAAGGAAAAACGACAACAGCAGGATTCGATCTTACGCGGGCACAGCTCAATGCCTTAGCAAGGCATCGCCAGAAAACCACTCAGCCATGCTGCCTTTACATTACGGAATGTAGCTTTTTTTTCCTCATTTTTTCGCAAACTAGAAGCTTTCGAGCAATGGCTGCTCGTAGACCAGGTTTATCATCTCTAGACATACTTCAAATCGCTCATAATGGGGTAATACCAACGGAAGTCAGTTCTTCATCACCACCGTGAGAGTGATCAGGGTCAGGGTTTGTAGGGTCAAGGGGGGGAGAGTCGGTCTGTCCAATGAAGGAAACGCTCTTCCCTCTCTCTCTGTCTTGATCAGGCGGCATACAGACACACACGTACAGAGAGACGCGTGTGTTGACTGACTGATCTATATGTATTGCCCAACCAACGTACCACAGGCAGATTCTCGAACGGGTGGCATGGCATGCTCCACACACACGACAAACAACAAAATTTCAAGCTGACCTGATGGTTCCTAGCAGCTGCAACCTCCTGACGCTTCGCTACCCTCACGTCAAACCTGACTGCCAAACCTACATGCCTCTCTCCCGCATAATTCAAAGCTCCAAGTGGTGAGACACCCCTTGAACAAACAAACAACTAACGCGTACCCGAAAAGACTCACCCGGCCTGCCTATGAGCGTTAGATACGAGACACTGACTCACCCTCATCTGGCCATCCACCATGTCGGGGCGGCTCGCTTGGGGCTGGCTCAGTCAGTCAGTCGGTGAGTGACTGAGTGGGTCAGTTAGCGGGCGGGAGTTGTCTGAGGGGGGGTCTGCTGTCGAGAAACTGCTTTATCCCCGGGAGGCCCTTGACGCGCTCATACCACGCACTCATCTCGCTCCACTTGGACAACACGCTGATGGACACACAAACGTAATCATGTCACAATAATGGGCATGTGTGTGTGTGTGGGTCTGTGGGTCTGTTTGTGGCTGGGTGGCTCACTCACTTTGGCTCGACGTTCTGTGTGTTTTCGAGGATGTGGAAGACGGCAAAGTCGGCGTAGGTGACCGAGTCCCCGGCGAAGAACTTCTTGTCGCCCAGCAGCTTCGTCCAGCACGGCAGATAGCTGACAAGGACAAGAGAGAGAGAGAGAGAGTCGGACATAGATGAGGGACGCATACGCCGGGCCGTTGGGGGGGGGGGCGTGTGGTTTCCCTTTCTTCCCTTTTGGCTCACTTGTCCTGGAGGTGTCCGAGCACGGTCTCCTTCTCGGTCTTGAACTGCTCGCCGCTGTACATGTTGCAGATCTGTGACCAACCAACCAACCAACCAACAGAGGAACACACACAGGACAGCAGGGTCGCTCCTTGCGTGTGATTCGCGTATGTGATGTGCTATGCGGGACTCACCGGATCGATGACCTGCACGCGCTTGTCCTGACACATCTCGAAGATCTGCACACACACACACACACATTGACACCAGTCGCCACTGAGCCGCCCTTGCCACGACCGGCCACTGATTGCTTCTGTCCATTCCGTTGGTACCATGTCGACGTATGCGGCTTTGACAGGGTCGTCAGGCACCAACCTCGGCGAAGCGATCTGCGCAATGTACCGCACAATCTGCACAGAGACGGACAGACAGACAACAGCATTGGGAGAGGCGGTGCGTGCGAATGTGTGTGATGTGTGTGTCTTGCAGGCCCAGGCCTCTGTGCAGCTGACTCGTACCGCGCCGGATTGGCAGATCTCCGTTCCGTCAGGAAGCACCTGCTCGCACCACACGCACACACCGCACCGCACCATACCCAAGACCATTCAACAGTGCGTGCGAGTGCAGTGGTGCACTGCAGTGGTGGTGCAGTGCAGTGTGTGTGTCGACTTACGAGCATGGGCAGCTGTTTGAGGAACGTCTTGTCCTTGAACTCGGCCCACTTGTCGAACAGGATGCTCACGTACTCATAGTCGACGCCTCCCCCGGCGAGCGTCAGCTGAGGGATTTCGTTGCGAGCGCGGAGCGGGAAATAGTACAGCGTGAGCTTGCCCATGTTCTCTACTACTGATGACGTGTCGTGCAGACGTTGGTGATGTGATGCCTGCAGTGTCCAAGGAGCTGAGAGGTGCTGGGAGGCCGTGCAGGTTGGGGTATACCTTGCAGACCGACTCCAGATAGATGGAAGGGCTCGACAGCAGCAGGGAGGCAGGACAAACGATAGGAGGCTGAAGGACCGTCAATCGTCACTTCCTTTGCGAAAGGAGATGAGTTCTAGGGTTGAGTTGAGGGTTTCTAAACCCTGCACTTGGCCACTGCCCCAATGCATGAAGGCACTCACACACACGCGCAAGAAACATGTAACTGGTCACGTCCATCTAGTTTGCATCGATTTCCTTTTTTCCTGGGGGTCTTTTAGGCCAGCAACTCGTCCACGAAGGCCTTGTTCGTCTCATGAGACAACAAGGCCTTCGTGACGGAATCGCGGACCTAGTAAGGAGAGGCAGGAGAGGCAGGATATGTTTCTACAACAACCCCAACACCACGACAGCAATCGCAACACAACACATGCACATTCACTTACACACACGTCTGCACTGCAGCAGTGGCCCGTCCTATACAGACAGACAGATCTATCAACCACACAGACAGACAGACAGACCACTGGTCGTCAGGCGAGCATGTCGAGCAATTCATCGCCGGCGTTGCTATTCTCGTCCTTGTCAAACACGGGAGCCCTCAGCTGCCGCGGCCGCACCTCGTCCGCTTCCTGCCGCTCTGCCCTTTCACTCCTCTCGCCTATCGATGCCCTCTTGTGCTCGACAGCACGATCTGCACACACACCTGACTCATCCGCAGACGAGGGACTGTCGCTACCTGACACACACGCACGCACACAGACACAGGGACACACGCGTCAATGACCCCGCCTGCTTCTTTCCCCCTCTCCCTGACTGACTTTTCCTCTTCATCGGCAGAGAGGATGCGGCGCTCCGCTGCCGCGACGATGTCGATGGCCCGTCGGCTGCATCTGCCCGTGAAGGCGGGGGCTGTGGGGGCGGGGGATTGAGGTCTGGTGTGAGGTAGTGGTCCCGGCAGAATTTGTCGATGGCGGTGGTCATGGCCTGCAGGATGGTCTGGTCGATGGTCTCAGGGATGCCTTCGACGGTCTTGCGCAGCTGCGGGATGGTCGTCGGCCGCAGCCCAGCCGCCTTGCGCATCACCTCGTTGCTCAGGATCTGTGAGAAACGACAACACAACACAACACCAGACGAGAACAGAACAAAGCGAATGGAGAAACACACAGAGGCAGAGAGAGTGTCGATGCATCTACCCCTACCTGCACTGGAGCGATCTTCCGCCTCTGACCCTCGCGTGAGCGGATGTCCCTCAGCACAATGTACAAGTCGTCTTCATGCCGCTTGAGCGTGGCGGCCGTCGACACCGCCACACGGGGGGCGTCCCTCTCCCCGCCCCCGCCCCCCTCACCCGACAGCCTGATGAAGGAGAACAGGCGCTCGGCCTGGTCGGTGGTGAGGGTCTTGGCCCGGTCGGCGATGAACCTACGACCCGCTGGCGACACCGACACCGCCATGTAGGTGGACATGAAGCTCTGGGCGCTGCTGAAACTCGTTACCTGACACAAGACACAGAGAGAGAGAGAGAGAGAGAAGTCTAGCGTGTGTGTTTGTGTGTGGACCGGCGGCCTGATCTGTCCCACCGACCGTCTCGGTGAGCAGGCCTTCGCGGATTAGTATCCGGCCGAGCTCCGTCCAGAATTTGACGGGACGATCGCGACCGCTGCCGTACTCCCGCAGTTGGGTCAGCCCTTTTTGTTTGACGTCGGTGCTACCGGCCCCGCTCACCACTTTGCACGGCACTGACACACAAGGCAAGGCGGGCAGGAGGCGTCTTGTTGGCATGTGTTTCGGTTTACTGGTGATGCCGAATCGTCCGCCACAGGCAGCCACGCCGGCCAACAGGATGCGGGCCTCCGACCTGTGTGTGTCGACAGACAGACAGACAGACAGACAGACAAGGCAGGGCAGGCTGTGTGTGTTGCAATGCCGTCTGTCTGTCTGCTTACGAGATGTCAACTTGTGTGTTTGGTGCCGACGACCGCCCCCGCCCCCGCCGCCTGCACATGTCGCAGAAGCTGCATGTCACCGATCCGTCCGCCAACCTGATCGACGGCACATTGCCTCGATGTGCGCATGTTCGGGAGTGTGTGTGTGTTTCTGCTCCGGCCGCCTACTTCCTACAGATGCCCTTGGTGGCCTGCGGGTCGTCAGACGAACCCTGACACATACACACACACACACACACACATGCACATGCAAAGAGGAGAGGAAAACGTCCGTCCGTATAGCCTCGTGTCTGTCCGTCACCTGTGCTGCGGCGGTTTGTGAGTAATCTTGTTGTTCCCTGAAGTATGTGATGAGCATGTCCCTCCGGCAGCTGCCGGCCTTGGCGTACTCGAGCACCTTGCCAAACAAGCCCATCCTGACACACATCATGGCAACAACAGGCAGAGCGGCTAAGACACATCATCCAAGGCGCACCAAGACGCCCCCCGCATTCAGTGCCTCTCTCCCTCCCTCCCTCCCTCCCTGTGTGTCTGTGTCTGGTGGGCTGGCTGGGTGAGTTACAGGTGTTTTGTGTATTCGGCTGTGTTCTTGCCGGTGCTGGCATCGTTGAGAATGAGTGCCCGGCCGGTGGCGCCGTCACCATCCCGCCAGAAGAGGTAACACTCGGACAGGTCGCCGTCCCTACCTGCCCGGCCGGCCTGCTGGACATACGCCTCGAGGGTGCGAGGAAGGCCGTAGTGGATCACGCGTCTGATGTCGGGTTTGTCGATGCCCATCCCGTAGGCCACGGTGGCCACCACCACCTGCACCTTGTCCTGCAGGAAGTCCTCATGCACACCCAAACGCCTGTCGGGCCGCAGGCCTGCACGACATGACAACCAGTACACATGGGGTGACGACACGCCCAACCCAGCTTCACACACCACACCACCTGTCTGCCGCATGGCATGGCATGAGCTCTCCTTGCTTGCCTAGGTGACCTCCTCACTCACTCACCGGCATGGTATGCGGCCGCCTGCACGCCGCGATCGCTCAAGAACCTGACGCGACACACACATGGGGTGGGATGTGTGTGGGTGTGTGTGTCTGTGTGGGTGTGGGTGTGTGTCTGTGTGGGTGTGGGTGTGTCTGTGTGGGTGTGGGTGTGTCTGTGTGGGTGTGGGTCTGTGTCGTGTGTGTGTGAGTGTGTGTCGGCTGACGAGGCGACTTCCTCTGCGTCCCTCTGGGTGGGGACATAGATGAGGGTCGACGCGAACGGCAGCGGATCAGGGGTGTTGGCGGCATTGTCGATGGTCTTCTCGGAACGGGACTTGGCCTGCGGACGGGGCTGCACACACACACGCACAGCAGAGACAGATGAGTCATTGTGTGGTGGCTTTCGACAAGGGTCACTTACGAGTGTGACAGATGGCATGGCTAGGAGCTTGCCCAGGTCGTCCTGCATGCCCTTCTTCTCACGCACCTCATAGTACAGATTCGTCCTTTACACACCCCAAACAGCACAGCACAGCACAGCAGGGAGGGATCAAGAAGCGGCTTGACGGCGTTTGTGTGTGGTTGCCTTGCGCTGCGGGCTGATACCTGTTGATGGTGCTGCGGAGGACGAGGACGTCGCGGATGTTGAGATCTAGCTGGTGCAACACGTCACTCTGGACCTGATGCCAGAAGCGAAAACATGGTGTGTGATGCCCGCAATGGCGTGGCGTGACCTGCTCTGACCTCCATGGTGCATGTGGCTGTGAGGCCCATGACGGGGACGCCGCTCAGCGCTCGCCTGCACAAGTAAAGTAAGTGCATAGCCGCAGTATATGCGCAACACATTACATTCGCACAAGTGCGTCACTCATTGGTTTGGTCTCTGACATACTTGAGCAGGTACAGCTTGCGATAGAGAGGCCGGAAGTCATGGCCCCACTCACTCACACAGTGCACCTGCCAAGGCAATCAAATCAATGGACACACACACGACAATGAAATGAGAGCATCAGATATCATCAGAGGCCCGTACGGACCTCATCTATGGCGAGGAGCAGTATTCTGTCCTTGGAGGCAGCTATCGTGTCGACCATCTTCTCCACATACTCCGGCGACACATAAACCAGGCGGTAGCGGCCCGCCAGCACGTCGCCCCAGGTGTAGCTACTCGCTGAACCTAGCAACACGGCGGCAATCTGCACGTAGTTAATGTGACACACACCCACACACCCACCCACACCCACACACACACACACACACACACACAACACTCGAGTGATTGAAATGCCAGTCTTTGATGTGTGCGTGTGCCTCACCTGTCTTTGCATCAGCGCGTGCACTTGGTCCTGCATGAGCGATATCAGCGGCGATATCACCAGCACAAACCTACCGCTGGCCTTGTCCATCAAAGAGGGAAGCTGGTAGCACAGACTCTTGCCTGCACCACAGACACCAACATACATAATCGACTCATCTATCAGAATGAACAAACACCCACACAGATCCATCCGCCCGCCACATGGGCCTCGCCTGCCTCACCGGCTCCCGTGTGTTTAATGATGAAGCAGTGCTGCCTGCGATAGCACGCCAGCACGGCGTCACGCTGGAACTTCTTGAGCTCCCTGAACCCGTAGTACTTCTGCATGGCGCGCTCCGCCGAAGCCGACAGGGCCGCCGGCGATAGCGGCGGACTCATCGTCGGACCACCCCTGCTGCTTATGACGCCACACAACGCTCCGCGCTGCTGATGCTGACGGAGATCATCGCACCGCCACCCTTCAAACCCTAAACCCTAACTTTTGGACACAAGACAAGCTTGTGTGAGTGCACCCACTCGGTCAGGCTGCGAGGGGGGGTGAGAATGAAAAGCTCGTGAGCGTGGGCGAAACTTTCCGGGCGAAGCTCTGGTGAAGGCTCAAGATGACGGTGCGTGTCTGCACGCATTCATATCCTGCGCAGGACGGTGCGAAGGTGAGCGCCGGACGGATGAGCGTGCCGCCAAGATGGAACATTCGGTGATGTGTGTGTGTCAGTGTGTGTAATAACGTACGCATGTGTGAATGCATCAGCAGCCGGAACCCTAAACCCTAAACCCTAATACTGAAAAAACGAAGAGCTCGCAGACGCCTTCCCTTTTTCTCTCCGGCTATCCCTTTGAGAGATGGCCATCTCCTTCGCCTTTCAAGGCCCTTCGCTGCCCGCCAAGGAACTTCCGCTGCAAAAGCATCACTTGGGGACGCCGTTGATATCATGGCGTCGGGTAGATCATCCGCCGCATCCACGAGTGCATTTCGCCCGCAGGAGCCGACGCACCGGTCGCATGCATCTTTCGCCCCCGCAGAGGGATGGATCTGTCAGCAGCTTTGCGGCAGCTCTCGAGGGCGCCTCCTCGGTCAGCAATGCAGAAGGCCGCGGCATCTCGGCACAAGGCCTAACGCACAAGCTGAACGAGATGGTGTGCGCATTCGTCGTGTGGATGATGGCTTTGTGGATCCCCAGCATCAACCACCTCCCTGCAGCTGCATCGGCAGATGTGCCAGCCCAGCAGCAGACCTTCAGCCAGCAGGATGCGCCGGCGGCTGACGGCGAGACGAGCGTGTTTATGTTGTCTCAAGTTGCGTCGTCGGCCGCCCCCTCTCGAGTGCTGGAGGAGGTCTCTGAGCTGGTGCAGCAGCACTACTGGGACCCTTCGCTGAACGGTGCAGCGGACGAGTGGGACGGCATCGTGCAGAAGTACCGCAGCAAGGCGCGCGACATGGACAAGCGGCAAAGCGGCGCAGAGGACTACCGCTACTACACCCTGCTGCAGGACATGGTCAACGAGCTGGACGATCGGTACTCCCGGGTGCTGGCCCCGCCTGCCGCTGCGGAGGTGCTGAGGGCGTACGATGTGTTGGGGGTCGGCATACAGTTCACGAGTGATGTGGACGGCCGGGTGCTGGTCAAGGGCGTTCCTCTCGCCGGCTCGTCCGCAGCCAAGGCCGGCCTGCAGGGAGGAGACGAGATTGTGGCTATCAACGGTAAGTGACAGGTAGCTACACATGGCATGGCACACACCACCTGGGATGGGGGAGGACGGCTGTGTCTTTGGTCGGTTCAGGTTTGACGCTGCGCGGCCTGTCCCCTGAGGACTTTGATGCATCCATCCTCAAGTCTGGCGACCCGCAGCTGACCATGAAGATCAAGCGCATCAGTGCTGACGGCCCATCGCCATCGCTAGAAGAGGACCTCACACTCGAACGCACCAGCCGCCCCCCTCTCTCAGCGGCCGAGGAGGCCCGCGTGCGGCAGCCGGTCCGATTCTTCGTCGAGACTTTGTCGGCCGAGGAGGAGCCGGACGCCCGGGACGGCCGGCGTGTGGTGTGGGTGGGGTACATCCAGATCCTCGACTTCAATTCGCGGGTGGAGAGAGAGGTGGCTCGGGCGTTGAAGCGGCTGCAGTACAGCGAGGAGGCCGTGCCGCCGTCCTCACTCATTCTCGACCTACGGGGCAACACAGGAGGTGCTATCGCGATAGAATTTAGCATGATCCACATATAACAGGAGGTCGCACGGTTGTTTGTTCCCTTCCTTTGGTTGGTGTGGTGCATGCCATGCAGGCGATCTGCAGAGTGCAGTCAATATTGCATCGCTGTTCAGCCCCAGCCGCCCACTGCTGCTCGTCGACTCGCGGACATCATCAGACAGCTCCCCTCAGACGATCGACACACGCGGCCCCTGGACCACCGACGCGGCCCTGCCGCTCGACCTCGCGGAACTGCCGGTGGTCATCCTGGTGGATGCCAAGAGTGCCAGTGCCAGCGAGGTGCTCGCGGGCGGCCTCAGGCGCCACTGTAGGGCCGCACTGGTCGGGGAGACCACCAAGGGCAAGGCCACGATGCAGGAGGCCCTTCCACTGAGCGACGGGGGCTTCTTGCTGCTGTCGACCAAGCATTTCAAGTTCGCTGACGGGCTGAGCTATGACGAGGGTGTGGCCGTGGATGTGCCCATGACGGACATGTCAGCTTTGCAGGAGTCGGATGACGTCAACACGCAGATTTTTCAATACCTCACCAAGCAGAAGAGCGTGTGTGACAAGTGATGGATGTCACAGATGCAGGCAGACAGGCAGATTTGTGCGTGTGTGTGTTTTGACGGGGCTGGGGCTGTGTGGACATGGGGGCGATTGGCTTTCATTTGCCGTTCCGGCATTGGGTTGGTTTCGTGCGTGCGTGCATCTCGCGAGAGAGGCTTGGTTAGCTGCTTGGACAGACAGACATGGATGGAAGTGAAAGGCAGACGGGGTTCGCTCATCATCATCGGACATTGAGCAGTAAGTAGTATGCCAGTCTATTCACAATCGCATAGCATAGCATAGCATCCATGGCCATGGCATGGACCCACCCACACATCGCCACTGCACTGCACTGCACGTGTGTTGCAAGTGTGCAGTGCAGTGCAGTCACTCATTCAGTCCCTCCCTCCCTCCCTCCCTCCCTCCCCTGTTGGTTGCTGCCCTGCCCCAGCTAGCTGCGAAGGCAGGCCAGTGAGGTGCGCATATCTCTGCAGAAAGCTCCTGTCCATCGGGAACACATCATACAGCTGCGATGCCACATGCAACACAACCCTATCCCGATCCAGCCTCTCGTGCAGCGGTGACAGCCCATCCTCCCAACCAACACCACCACCACCATGCTTCAGCAACCCACTCACATCCTCAGCTGATGTATCCTCTAGGCCATATAGATGGGTAAGGCTCACCGGCCGTCTGCGGTTTGCCCGCCCCACAGCGGCGTGGAGGGATGAAGACCCCCCGCCAGCTCGTCTGGCGTCGCGTATCTGTTCCTTGCGCAGCGGGATGATGGTCCACCCCTGCAGGCCGTGAAGGAACTTCATCTTGAGCACCGCCTCACACAGCAGGTGGTCGCTGTCGCCTGGCTGGTCCTTGATGGCGCCGAATGAGTGGTTGCCCACCAGCACGATGGCGATTTTGGTGAAGGGGTGGGCGAGGTCGATGACGTACTCGTGGTCGGCTTGCCACAGCATGGCGAAGCCGCCGTAGGGGCGGCAGTGCTCTTGGGCGATCATACCGCCCGGGTGGGGGCACTCCCTGAGACAAGAGGCATGTGAGTACTCATTGCTGTGACTCCTGTCTGTCTGTCTGTCTGTCTCGTCCGTCGTGGCAATCGGACCTGAGTACGGCTGCGATATTGAGGCTGCCGAGGACCTCGCCGACAGTTTCGTGCAGGGGAGTCATCATCTGCAGTGACATTTAAGGGAAGGACACGACACACATGTTCTTCAACAACTGCCGACATCACACCATGCCCCGTCCGCCTGTGGTGTGGCTCACCGTTGCAAGCTTGTGCTTCGATCTCGATCGCCAGCCTGACAGAAGAGCGAGAGGTTCGCGTGCACAACAGATACAGTGTACCTTTGAATTCCTGTCCTGTCCTGTCCTCTCTACCGAATTGCATCTCCGTGAGGACACTCGTGATCATCGCTGAGTTCTCTCCCGTCGGCAGCAGCAGGCTGCTGCCCGACCCACCACCCAGCCGCAGGTGCCGCATCGAGAACGTGTCACATATGTCCTCCCCTGGTGGTGGCACGTGAGCGGGCAGCGGTGTCTCATCGGTCGATCCGAAGTCTTCTACCTCTTCTTGCTGCTGTGTGTCGTCGGTGAGCAAAGGCTTGGTGGTCTGCGCTCCCTCACGCTCAGCATCCGCCGACCCACTATCCCTCTCAAATGTGTCGAGAAGGCCGTGGATGTCCTCAAGCCACGAGACGTCGTCTGATGCAGACCTTTCCTCAACCCCTTTCTCGCCTCCAGCCGCACTGAGCAGGTCCTCCACTCTCCGCTCGAGCGACGACAACTCAGGCAGCCGCCTATCGCCCACATCAGTCGTCACATCGCCCGTAACCACCTCTCCCTCCTCCCCAAACATGGCCTCTTCCATCGGTGTCAGTTCAGGAATGACATCCTCACCGCCCCCGACCGACGACGGCTCGGGGCTGAGTGTCTTGAGTGCTTCGTCCACATCGACGGCCCGGAGGGGCGACCTAGCTTGGTCGGTGTCGGTGCTGCTGTTGGTGTCCATCAGCTGCGGCGGGATGGGCAGCGACGTGGCCGAGTAGGTGGGGACGGCGGGGAAGTTGGAACACAGGGTGAGGCACCGGTGGGCGAGGGGGGGCATGGCGACTCTCAGCTGACACAGACTCTCGAACAGCAACAGGTGGCTTTGTCGCGGCAAATCCTCATACTCATCGAGACTGCAGAAGACGCAGCAGAAATGACGGTAACCACTTTTTTCCGGCTGCCCGTCTGTCTCTTGCTTACGCCATCTTGACTGTCGGCAAAGCAATGGCCCTGACGGTCGACCAACAGTCCAAGCCGATAAGCGACCTGCACAGAAAACACACAACACCAGTGCATGATTACTGGTCATCCGCCGGGTGGATGAAGGTAGCCAAGCCACCAGAGGATCTGGATGGACTGATCCGTTTGGGGTGCCTCCATGGTCTCGTCGGCCACAAGGCGACACAGCCGGCGCACCAGCGGGGGGAATGACGTCTGCAGCGTCGCCATGTGGCAGAGGATCCTTGTCAGGTTGGTCGGCGAGATGCTGTTGCTGCTCGCCTCAAGCCGCCGGTCAAGCGCCTCCAGTACTGCCTGCGTCCTGCACACTCACAGCCCCGACACAACGATCCATCCATCCATCCATCTGTGTCATGTGCCAGCGATCCACCTGATGGATTTGGTAAGGGCATACACCTCCAGCAGGTCGCACAGCTGAGGGAGGCCGAGCTTGGCCAGGAAGGGCGAGGGTGCCGGTTGGGGGCTGACCGACACGTCCAGTACGCCAGCGGCAGAGACGGACGACGACTCGCCGAGCAGGGGACGGAGTGGTGGGGGTGTGACAACAGCGGTGATGGTGTCCAGGATGGAGCAAAGCGGACCTCTGATGTGACACAAACAGAACACAAATACACTCCGTCACGAAGCGCTATGTCGCACTCGCGTCCGCACCTGTCTTTGAATTTGAGCTCTCCATAGATCTTGAGCACTGATATGATCTCTGTCGGCGTCAGACGCCGCCCAGCCAACACATCACCCGCCTCACCTCCCCCACCCCGAAGCTGCCAGTGAATGTGCTGCGCCAAGTCGTAGAAGGCGGGCAGCAGTGGGGCCGCCAGCCTCTTGGCGGTGACGGGCTTCAGGCTCTCCAGCGACGTCGCGATCTGCCGGGGGGACATTTTGGGCAGGTGTGCCGGGAAGGCCTCGAGGAGCGGCAGGGGGAGATCTGGGTGGAAGCCCTTGTAGATGGCCATGTGGTAGAGGGAGTAGAGGAGGGTTACGTATGTGCCGGTCGGGAGGGCCTGGATGGCCGGCAGGCCTCCCTTGAGGACCCGTGCGGTGACGAGGGCCTTGAGAGCGTCCTTACCCCGGCCGAGCATCGAGACGGTGAGGCAGAGGGGCGTGGCTCTCTCGAGCGTCATCCACTCCATCTCCTTGGTGACCCGTCGTGTCAGCGCCTTGACCAGTCTGCCCGGGGCAGGCCGGTAGATGGGGTTGGGCACCACTCCCGCGTTGTCATACAGACTCTTGTGAAGCGCCAGTGTCATCAGCAGCGACTGCGCCTCAGATGGCGTCACAAAGGGCAGCAGCGGCAGCAGGATGGCGCACACGCCGTCCAGCACATCTCCGTCCACCATGCCGGCCTTGCCGACCGAGAAGAGGACGCTCGCCACACCCCTCACAGGCAGCTGGGCGATCCACCCGCAGTCAAGCAGATCCCGGATCATCACCGACACACGCGACAGGTCCACGTCAGCACACTCGGCCTCCCCCAGAGCACCCATCAGCTCCACCAGACCATCCGTAGCAACCTCAGGCACCTGCTCGGCCGCATTCGTCACCAGCCAGTCCCATATCTGCGGTTGTTGCGCTAGGACGGGGTGCCTCGCGACGCCTCTTAGCAGGCGGGAGGCATCGGCCGTCGGCAGGGAGGGCAGCAGAGGGAGCAGCTGGTGCAGCAGGAAGGACAATGGAGTGGCCGTCTGGGCGCCTCCCATGCAGAGAAGGAACTCCATCGAGTGGACGAGCGCCTGGGGGCTGAGTAGGGCCGATCTGGCGGCATGGTGGATGGCCACAATGGCGGCAGAAAGGAATGGGTGGTCGGGCAGGACGGTTGCGCGGAAATCAGCCGACGAAGCAAGGATGAGGTCGCCGAGGTTCGATAGCGATGCGGCCAGCTGCTCGAGGCGGAGTCTTGTCACCTCTGGCTCCTCGCCACGAGCAGCGATCTGGTTGAGGAGCGATGCGTCATAGACCTCGCTGAGCCCTCCAAGGGTGTGCAGCAGCCGCTCCTGCGCTCGCTGCTGCTCTTCCGCTGCCTGTGTCATGGGCTGGCTGTCGGGCGGCAAGAGCGCCCGAATCTCCTCTCTCAGCTTCTTCTTCTCCTCCCTTGTCCAGGCTCGCGAAATGTCCGGACGCAATGAGATAGTGTCGGCAGAGGGGGTCGTTGATCGCCGCCTGACCGGCTCCTCTGCTGAAAGCGCCTTCGCCGTCGCAGCTTTGGCCTGGTTGCTCTTTGCGGTCGACGCGAATGACGATGCGGTGTTGGGCAGCCGAATCGGCCGCTCCACTCTCGAGCTTCTCGGCTCATGCTTGGCAGCACCGTGAGGACTGTTCGTCTTGCTGGGAGAAGGGGATTTAGAAGGGGAGGACGGCGGCTGGTGAGGCGCAGGGAAGGTGCCAGTCAGATAGATGGGCTCCTCGTGCTTCCCCGAGGTGGGCTGGTCAGTCGGGATGAATGGCTTTCGCTTCTGGCTGCGCATCGTGCGCATGGTTGCATAGTATCGAAAGATGCGGCACCGGATCTCCATCGGAAACGCTGAGATATCCCTCACGGCTGCCGAATTCATCGCCAGTGTGGTGAGGAAATGGTGAATGCGCCGCAGACCGGCAGTGGCACCTGTTGCTGTTTGGGCTTAGGGTCAGGGTTTTTGAGTTTACGCATCGCGACTTGCGACCGGTTTGCTCCAGCACTCTTGCACCCCGCCACCGTGCCTGCCGCCCGTCAAGCTTTCCTCGTGAGGGCCCCCTCCCCCCCCCCCC